GATCCAGAACCTTCTGATGGATCCAGGACTTGGTCTGATCCAGAACCTTCTGATGGATCCAGGACTTGGTCTGATCCAGAACCTTCTGATGGATCCAGGACTTGGTCTGATCCAGAACCTTCTGATGGATCCAGGACTTGGTCTGATCCAGAACCTTCTGATGGATCCAGGACTTGGTCTGATCCAGAACAGATGGATCCTGGAAGTGGTTTTGTTCTCTTGACTAGCCTGACCAGAGCATACAGGGTCTATCTGTTTGGGATGAGAGTCACAGGGAACTGGTCTTCCCTACGTTGTGGGGCAGTTTTTTTGGCAAACACACTGACTTGTGGGGGCATAATGGTACTTTTGGGGATCTGAGTCTAGTCCCCATGAGGGGAAATGCTGTTGATGAGTTGGGGGGTTAAGGTTAGGACCAAGGTGTGAAGGGTCAGGTGAGGTTAGGGTTGGTGACCAGGGTTAGACTGTAGAAAACAATGGAAGTCAATGCCAGGTCCCCATAAAGATAGCTGGACCAGATTGTGGGTTCTGGTCAAAGGTCACAGTGTTCTGGTCAAAGGTCAAAAGGTTCTGGTCAAAGGTCACAGGGTTCTGGTCACAAGGTTCTGGTCAAAGGTCACAAGGTTCTGGTCACAAGGTTCTGGTCAAAGGTCACAAGGTTCTGGTCACAAGGTTCTGGTCAAAGATCACTAGGTTCTGGTCAAAGGTCACAAGGTTCTGGTCACAAGGTTCTGGTCAAAGATCACTAGGTTCTGGTCAAAGGTCAAAGAGATCTGGTCAAAGGTCAAAGGGTTTTGGTCAAAGGCCAAAGGGTTCTGGACAAAGGTCAAAGGGTTCTGGACAAAGATCAGAGGGTTCTGGTCACAAGGTTCTGGCCAAAGGTCAAATGGTTCTGGTCAAAGGTCACAGGGTTCTGGTCAAAGATAAAAGGGTTCTGGTCAAAGGGTTTTGGTCAAAAGTAAAAGGGTTCTGGTCACAGTGTTCTGGTCAAAGGTCAAAAAGTTCTGGTCAAAGGTCACAAGGTTCTGCTCAAAGGTCACAGGGTTCTAGTCAAAGATAAAATGGTTCTGGTCAAAGGGTTTTGGTCAAAAGTAAAAGGGTTCTGGTCACAGTGTTCTGGTCAAAGGTCACAAAGTTCTGGTCAAAGGTCACAGGGTTCTAGACAAAGATAAAAGGGCTCTGGTCAAAGGGTTTTGGTCAAAGGTAAAAGGGTTCTGGTCACAGTGTTCTGGTCAAAGGTCACAAAGATCTGGTCAAAGGTCACAAGGTTCTGCTCAAAGGTCACACTGTTTTGCTCAAAGGTCAAAGGGTTCTGGTCACAGGGTTCTGGTCAAAGGTCACAAAGTTCTGCTCAAAGGTCACACTGTTTTGCTCAAAGGTCAAAGGGTTCTGGTCACAAAGTTCTGGTCAAAGGTCACAAGGTTCTGCTCAAAGGTCACACTGTTTTGCTCAAAGGTCACAGGGTTTTGGTCACAAGGTTCTGGTCAAAGGTCACAGGGTTTTGGTCACAAGGTTCTGCTCAAAGGTCACAGGGTTTTGGTCACAAGGTTCTGCTCAAAGGTCACAGGGTTTTGGTCACAAGGTTCTGCTCAAAGGTCACAGCGTTCTGCTCAAAGGTCACAGGGTTGGTCACAAGGTTCTGGTCAAAGGTCACAAGGTTCTGGTCAAAGGTCACAGGGTTCTGGTCAAAGGTCACAAGGTTCTGGTCAAAGGTCACAGGGTTTTGGTCACAAGCTTCTGGTCAAAGGTCACAAGGTTCTGGTCAAAGGTCACAGGGTTTTGGTCACAAGCTTCTGGTCAAAGGTCACAGGGTTCTGGTCAAAAGTCACAAGGTTCTGGTCAAAGGTCACAGGGTTCTGTTCAAAGGTCACAAGGTTCTGGTCAAAAGTCACAAGGTTCTGGTCAAAGGTCACAGGGCCCTGGTCAAAGGTCACAGGGTTTTGGTCACAAGGTTCTGGTCAAAGGTCACAGGGTTCTGGTCAAAGGTCACAAGGTTCTGGTCAAAGGTCACTGGGTTTTAGTCACAAGGTTCTGGTCAAAAGTCACAAGGTTCTGGTCAAAGGTCACAGGGTTTTGGTCACAAGGTTCTGGTCAAAGGTCACAAGGTTCCGGTCAAAAGTCACAAGGTTCTGGTCAAAAGTCACAAGGTTCTGGTCAAAAGTCACAGGGTTCTGGTCAAAAGTCACAAGGTTCTGGTCAAAGGTTACAAGGTTCTGGTCAAAGGTCACAGGGTTCTGGTCAAAAGTCACAAGGTTCTTGTCAAAGGTCACAAGGTTCTGGTCAAAGGTCACAAGGTTCTGGTCAAAGGTTACAAGGTTCTGGTCAAAGGTCACAGGGTTCTGGTCAAAAGTCACAAGGTTCTGGTCAAAAGTCACAAGGTTCTTGTCAAAGGTCACAAGGTTCTGGTCAAAGGTCACAAGGTTCTGGTCAAAGGTCACAAGGTTCTGGTCAAAGGTCACAGGGTTCTGGTCAAGGGTCACAGGG